AAAAGTAAATTAAACTGAAATTAAAGTTAATTTACGTTGATAAAAATAGATCTGTGAATTCCTGTGACAAATGGGACACTCTGGCTTGAAATCACATACTTTCCGCGAAACTTACAATTGGCGTAGAGATACTGCGCGTAGATATAAACACGCGAGACACATTGTTGCGGCAGATTTACACGAGATTACCGGTTACAACCTCTCGTCTGAGAGTTTTCCAGCAAGTTTTCAAGCAAAGTCTTGATTCGCAAGAGTCGAAAGAGATCCGACGCCAAAGATCGTTCCAACGTGTCTCGAAGCATAAACACCCAAGAAACACACAAAAGTCACAACAAAAAGTTAAAATAATTTTATTTTGATTCTTAACGTATCAAATAAATAATCGAATTTTATAACCGTAAATCATGTTGACTTTTATGACGTCAAAATTATTTTAACTGTCTCTTTTTACTTGGTGCGTCGTGTTCCTTGTACGGAACGAACGCAATCTTAGTAGGTGTTAATTTTATTCGTATCCTTAAATACTTTTTGGCGATCCTCAGAAGAACACAGAGCCACGTGGTATACTTATCTCAAATATTCCGTTTCACTCGCAATCTCATTCTATCTGAAATGAGGTCGTAATTCAGGCACTCCTGCGATGACCCTAATCGCCGTTCCTGACGGTGTTCGTATTTCAAAGTGCTAACAACGTGCCATAAATTCTTCTTCAACCCGTATCTCGTCGAGCTCCACTCCCTATAAAAATCGAGAATTTTATTACGCATTCTTCTCTGCCCTTATAAAGCTCATCGATTGCTCGATAGCGGCGTAGACGTGAATCGGATCGGGCCCATCGCTACGGGGCCTGGCTTGCCGAGCCTTTCTAATCCGTTGGTTTGAGCGAGTTGATGTTTTCGCGCCAGCTAGTAGATGCGGTAACAGACGTGTTGCCTAGCATAAGGGGCAAGGACGGCCGAGGCCGACCGAGGCTGGCTCGCTTGCACGGGAGGAAGTCAGAGAAGTCGAAGAAAAAGAGAGAAGGAGCGAGTGAGGGCGAGAAGGGGAAGGAACGACGAGGGGATCGCTGGAGCGCATCGGGGTGGACGGGGTGGACTAAACAGCAACGACCGCGCGCACCCACGTGCGTGTGAGTCGCCACGCGTGGTACGTTAAGGCTGGCGCGAATGTTGTGTGCGTGCGCGTGGTTGCTCGATGCCACCGACACCGGATCCCGAGGAGTCGTGCGAGTTAGGAGCAACGTGGGATTTTACGAAGCGTTGCATCGCGATGGAATTCCGTTCCCTCGACACGAGAGGACGTCTTTCCCCTCCGACGAGCGCGTCGCGTGCCGTGATCCGTCTCGAGAAAACAATAAACGAATTTGCAGTTTCTAAATCGTTATCTCTTGAATTTAAACATCGCGACTAATTCTTTCAAATTGTTTATGTATAGAAAGACGGGGCGAATTGAATACTCGATCGAAGCGGAGACGAGTCGAAGAAGCCTTCGGGTGATTTCAAGGCTTCGATGGATTTGAAATGGAATTTAAATGGCTTTATACGATAAAACTTACACTTGCACGCTTTTTTTTATGTCAGCAAGTCCGAGTAAGTGAGTAATAAACGGCAGCCGTCGTTTATTGCACGGAATGCGTGCATTAAACGCAGGTGCATCGTCGCGTCGATACGCGCAAACACGTTTGAGGAATGCATAATTTATCCAATTTAAATTATACCACGTCATTCTTTTGGTAATCATTTTCATTTCTGGATATCGATAATATTAAATTTATTTATGTTGAATTGTTTGATTATATATGTAGACACAGAGTGTCTGAAATTACCGAATCAAAATACCACAGCAAGAAAGTTCTCGAAAAAAGTATAAAAGTATATTATTTTTCGAACACTAGTTTTTGAGATATAAACATTTCAAAAACGTTTGTAGGAATGAAACGAGTGTAGGAATTGACTAGTCACGATCGAGTATACCCCTCTTACAGTCGAATGAGAGGGGAATGCTCGACTGTGGTTGGTCAGTTCTTACACTCTGACCCAATTCTAACCCTCGGTGGAAACTTAAGGGTCCCATAACAATCAAAAAACGGAAAACGGAATTTCGGAAAAGTAATAGAGTAGGGATCAACCAATCAGGGTACCTGTCAAAATTATTCCGTTTTCCTCAAAAAATACAATAGAAATCTAGGAAATAATTGAATAATTCCGATCGGAATCCATTCCGACTTTGTTCCATGATAGGTACCCAGAATTATTGGGATACATTACTATTCGTCTGCACATACATACGTACGTTAAGTACAAGATTATCGAAATTGAATTTCTATACGTATAAAAAGAATTCATTATTAATAAATAATTGATCGATAAGTATTCATTTTTCCAGCATATAAATATAACCATTTATATCGTTAAGAATAAAATTGCTTGTCGGTCCGAAATTTTCGTGGCTGGGTTCCCCATGAAGCGACTTTTTCGGAAAGTAGACTGTTATTCTAATCTCAAACTGTCTTTCATTATATGTCTGTTATAATAAAAAATATATCGAAATTTTATTTTCTTGTGAATTCTCCTACTATATAATAATTACCTTTTTTCATAAAATATTTAAAATAATTTTTCCGATTTTTCATAATTTCGGAAATATTAGTCCATGGAACCCAGTCATAAAAATTTCGGACAGACAAGCACACAATTTTATTCCCAACGGTATAAATAGTTATACTTATATGCTGAAGAAATGAATACCGAAAATGAATACTTATTAACGAATATTTATCAAACAATTATTGATTAATAATGAATTTCTTTTTATACGTATAGAAATTCAATTTCGATAATCTTGTATTTAACATATATGTTCAGACGAACAGTAAAGCATCCACATAATTCTGATTGTTGATTCCCACTCTATTACTTTTCCGAGATTCCGTTTTCTGTAATTCGACTGTCATGGGACAGCACCCTAAAGGCCCGTAATACACAATACACGTAATAAGCTTGGTTTAAGAAAAATAAGAAATTGACCAATCACAGTCGAGTGTGAAAAGAATAATCAACTATGATTGGTCAATTTCTTATTCTTACTTCTTAAATCAAGCTTACTACGTGTATTGTAAGTCCGGATCTACAATAGGTGTTTTAAGACTTAAGAAATAGAAATGGACCAATTACAATCAAATCCGAGGGGAATAATCGCCTGTGATTCACCCATTTCTTATGGCTTAAGGCTTAAAACCCTATTGTAGATCCGGGGTAAAGACGGGTTATAACCCCGGATCTACAATAGTTTTAAGCCTTAAGCCATAAAAAATGGACGAATCACAGTCAATTATTCTCCTCGAATTCGACTGTAATTGGATAATTTCTTACGGCTTAAGATTTAAAACACGTATTGTAGATCCGGGGTAACTCTTACTTCTTAAACCAAGCTTACTTCGCATATTGTAGACGACGCATTAGTCTGTAATTCCGCAAGGTGAAAAGTAGAGAAATTAGGAAAACAAACGAACCTGGTTTTCGGTTACTAGAGAAATACCAAACGTTAAACTGTTAGTTTATGAACTGAAGGTCAAAGGCATATACGAAAACCGATGCAAGACGTTGGCCACTTCAAGGTCCGATACCCTTTAAGACCCCTTCTACGTAAGATTAACTTTAATTTCAGTTCAGTTTACTGCTTTTTTTTTATCAATGTGGCTTGATTTTAATTTTGGTTTAACCAATTCTTCTTTTTCCAATTCTAAGAATTAAAAAAGGATTAAGAGTAAGGCCGGAATCAGACGCATTGAAAATTAAAGATTGAAATTTGACCAGTGAGGACAAAAGAATTTTAGCTCTTATTGTTCTGATTTCAAATTTCAATCTTCAGTCTCAATCTTAAATGTGTAGTCACGATTCCGGCCAAGTTGAACAGAGATTAAAGTGTTGCTACAAAATATAAATGCTGTGAAGAATACGCTGATTGATCAATTCGTAAAATCCTTTTATTTGAAAGATCAAATGTTTCATAACTTTTATTTTTATAGCGAGATTTTAGCCACACCTAAAATTAATCTATATTGGTAGAAACTGGAATAAGTACTCTTTTTAAGTATTCGCGATATACTAACCTAGTGCAAGCTTCGATATCAAAACGCCATACACTGCAACCAGTACGCAGATTCTTGATAGATATACTCGAACAGGAAGGAGACAGTGCATGTCCAGTTCTTTCGGAAAATCGAGTTTTACTATTTTTTTGCAGTGTTATATATTTGTGTTCAATTGTACAGCCAACTCGTTACATACAACATATATACGTATCTTATTCCATAATAAAATTGCTCGTATTAAAACTCAAAGTATATAATCATAATAAGGAGCAATAATCGGTTTTCAATAACGTTCTACCAAGATGTTCGACTTGAAGTTTACATTAATGGTTTTGTGTCTTTAATTATTACAAGGATTATTTTAATTATTACGATAATCAAAGACAATGAAGGTATTGCTGTTAGGCATTCGAATATATGAGTGACGACCTGCTAATCTTTTATGGAGAATTTTTTTTAAATATATCTTTCCCTCATTTTCATTTCAATTTAATTCTGAATATTTTCCCAAAATATATTGATAAGGGGAAAAAAAAGATACATATCCAAATGATAATGAAAAGCCACTTGCCAATTGCATTGTATATATGTAACCTCTAAATGAGAATGAGTACTTATTGCATGTTGATGAACTGAAAACTATAATTATATACTAATATAAGAATGTATGCATTAACTAAATATTTATAATCTATTTGACACAAGGTCTTTTTCCCTTTCAAGATAATTTCAAATATTTTCTGAAGTGTCAACAAAATTTAACAAGTGAATCATTATAGCATAGTTATTACGTATAGTTGGAATTGCTATTTAAATTAAATTCAATTCACGTTTGAATCGGATTAATTTTAAACCACTGGAAAAAATTAAGATTACATCAGAAAAATAGAAATTTTGACATTACAAATATTTATATGTGATTAATAGAATGAATAATAGAAGAAATTGGCACTAAAACTACAAATCTCGACGTGCCTCATCGGTCAATCAGTCGATTAGCCAGAGTACGGGCGATGAAAACAAAGCGACTATATCACAGAGAAGCAGCGATGGCGGCGGTAACAGATCCTAACTACCAAATCTTAGCAGCAATGGCTCTCTGCATTAAAACGTTCTTGCTTCGCTGTTTCATGCGCTCAATGAAGTACTCCTTGCCTTCCAGGTTATCATCGACAGGTTTGACTCCGTCAGTCTGGCAACAAACGAGAGTTAGTTGGCTCGTGGCTAGTATTCTCTCGTGGCTGATCATCATCATTATTTTCTTCATCTGTTATTCCTCGTTTTTATCATCAATCAGGTTATCATCATCATCGTAAAGATGAGATTATCATTTCGTAGGTTGAAACCTGAAGTCTAACCAACCTTGGTACTAGCTGCATCGCCCCCCTCTCCCTCTCCCCACCTCTCATAGTCGTCATCGTCCCTCTCTTCTCCTTCGCTCAAGGGCCCAGCTTGTCTCTTGTTAGGTGGCACGGTTGTGCCACCGCTACCACTCTGTTGATGTTCAATGTCGTCGCCTCCTTCGAGCATCTTGTTGATCTTCTCCTTCGCTTCGTCAACCTTCCTCATTGGATCGGGTGAATAGCTGCGATCGCTGTATCGATCACGCGACGAAGCACGACGGTCCCTGAAGTCCCGTCTGTCGCGGAAATCACGGAAGCCTTGTTTATTATGAAAGAATCTACCACCACGATTACCGCGACCGCCTCGACCACCGCGATTGTTAAAACCACCGCCGCGACGATTACCGAAACGATTATTGTGTTGATTGTTGTAGAAACGATTTCGATTCTGGAAATTGTTGCCACCACCACGATGATTCGGATTGTTGAAACCTTGGAAGCGCGGTTTGTAGTACGTGCCGCGGTTGTTGTATGGTCGAAATTGCCTCTTGCGATAGTAACCTCGATCACCCGACCTACTACGACTACGACTTCTGGTATATGATCTAGATCTCGATCGTGATCGCGATCTACTGTATGTACCCGAAGGAGATCTGCTATACTTCCTCTCATAACTGCCAGATCGTCGATTTGAATATGAACGTGAGCGACTGCGTCTTGCTGATCGAGATCTAGACGATCCGGAACTGGAGGCACTGCGAGATCGACTACGCGAACGTTTTCCTGGACGATCCCTGCTCATACGTTTACTCATGCCGCCTCTGCTGCTCGATTCGCGTTTCTTCGGAGTTTGTCGGTGCTGACGCTCAGCCTCACTGTCGGAATCGGTTCTTGGACCTTTGGCTTGAGTCTGATTCTTTGCCGTTGGCGGAGGACGGGGTGGTTCCGGTGGATGTCCAGTTCCGCTATTTTGACCGATCGGTTGGAATTTACCGCCCAAATTGTTGGTAGAGGCAAACTTGGTCGGTGTAGTTTGTGATACAGACATAGTAGAATCCTTGTACGATTGGAATTTGTTCTGCGGTTGCGGTGTAGGATACTTGACGGGCGCTTGCTTTGGCATTGGAGGCTCTTTCGGCAGCGGTGGTGGTGGTGTCGGTGTAGGTTGCGGTGGCGGTGCTCTTTTCTCAGCAAGTTCGCGTTGCATTTGCTTCCGTATATTCAAAGATTTCTCAAGAGCCGCACGTTGTATTCTTTCTTCCAATTCATTATCATCGTCCTCATCGCTATCCACAAAGACATTAGATTGTACCTTTTTGTTATCTGATGGGACATCTTGCCACTTTTGTGAAGAAACGTCCTTTTGTCTGAAATTATGCGTAAATGTAAATTTGCAGCAAAGTAAAATATGAAACAATATCATTCTATCTTACAAATTGTATTTAATGTAAAATTGTATTATATGCGTCTCCAATTACTTACCTAGCAGCTTGTGCAGCCTTCCATTTAGCATTTAATGCAGCGGTGTCTAGGGTAGGGAGTTTCGGTTCGGGATGAATCAATTGGGATTCTTGTTCAAATATGTCTGTTAGTGGCTTCCTCTGGATTTCTGTGAATATTTTAAACGATTATCGTGAGATCATACATCGTTATATATTAATATACATTTTATAAATATAATACACACCTTTTCTCTGTTGCGCAGTCATTGGTACCCTGGATTCTCGCTCGTGATATGCCTTCGATGCTAAGAGGGGAAGTTATGTCATTATACTGTGCTACATACCTAGTAAATATAAAAACATAAGTAGAATACGATGTCTGACGACCGCGTGATTTCCATTCATTTGCGATAGCTGAGGATATGAAAACAGCGTATAAATAAAAATTGCACAACACGAGTTGAAATCAAACTGCTTAACTGGAAGGTAATAAAAAAAATATTAAATTCATTATTACGACAAAATTCTAACAATGATTCCAACCTTTTAAGCGCCGCACAGTCTTTCTCAACTTTCGCATAATAAGCACTAAGCTTGGATTCTAACTGTTCCAAATCCGGCAAAGATGACTTTCTCAATGCTTCTAAATCTCGTTCGAGCTTGTCCTTGTTTTTACGCTTTTTCCGTTCTTCCTTCTTCTTCTTCTTACGACTCTTCTTATCCTCCTTTTCCTTATCTTTCCCCTTCTTTTCTTTCTTCTTTTTCTTCTTCATTTTTTCGCTTTCAGAGTGTTTCTTTTCCTTTTCCCTTTCTCTCTTCCATCTTGCTGTCTCTTCTAAGAATTTTCTTACCTGTTCGTATAACATGTACATATAACATTTTGCGTTAATATTTATGTTACAAACTTTGAAATATGCAAATAAGCAAACTTATAAAATTATACTTGCCTTATCTTCATAATCAGAATCATCCTTGGTTTGCTCAAGAAACTTGCGTACTTTGATTTCGTAGTCATCCATTTTCTCGCGCGCATTTGTGGTGTAAGAAGCGGCCGGTGCGATAGTATCGTGAGTAGTGGCAGTTGCAGCAGGAGGATTGTTATACTGGGCCATTCGCTTGCTAAGCGGCGAAAGCGAACTGCGATGATCTTTCTTATGTTTGCGTTTACGACTTGGTGATCGGGATGCCGATCGTGAACTTCCTGACGACGATGAGCTGCTCGAGTCTGAACTCGAAGAGGTCGAAGATCCGGTGGATGAAGAGCTTGAGCTGGAACTCCATCTTTGTCTTTTCTTTGATCTAGATTTTCTCTCCTTTTTGCGTTTCTTTTTATCTTTTTTATTTTCTGCAACGTCATTCTCGGTGTCAAAGTTCTTAAAGGTATCCAGAGGGTTCAGTGATGACGTGATAGTCTTAGATTTTATGTATTCAATGGAATTTCGCGCTTCTTCGTGATATGGCGCAATCGCCAAACAATTCTCATATGCTTTTTGAGCATCTTCGTACTTTTTCTCATCTTCATAACTGCGTCCTAGAGCAACCAGTGTTTCCGCCATATATTTACGAGCATTCGCATGTGTCTGATTTAATTTTAAGGCTGTCTCAAAGTCGTCGATCGCTTTCTTGAAACTTCCACTATTTGCATATCTGTAATACATAGTATATTAAACATGTTTGTGCATATATTAACATACTAAACGCGCGTATATTGCAATCTTCAGTCAGAAACTTACAATGCTCCTCGAGCAACCAAACCCTCAACGTTGCGAGGATCAACAGTGAGCGCTTTATTGAGACACTGGAAAGCTTCGGAATGACGACCGGCCTTGAAATGATCTATTCCCTCAGCGACACTTCGGAATGCCCACTTGCTTGCTTGTGCTTGTCGCAATTCAGTAGCGTATTCATTTGGTGGAAATCTCTCTCTGCATATCAATAAATGAACGTAATCAGGAATATAAAAATATAGTCTGCATTTCACTTGACGCTCGTAACGCTCTTAGAATAATCATCCTTGTTGTTAAGTATCAAACAAGGATAAATGATGCTCGCGAACGTTATGAGAGTCAAATGAAATGAGTCGACTCATAAAGCAACTGAGTTTATCCATCAATAAATGAGTATATATACACAGTGCGGCATTTTAATCGCTCAGAAACCGAGAGATACAGATAAGATAAGAGAGATACAAAAAAGTTTTATATAAGTTGTAGATTTTCTTAGATGCACATACGCACACACACACACACACACACACACACACACACAACAGATTAAATCTGATTAAGTAATCTCCATGTAGTACAACCTTGGGTAATGCTAATGTTAGCAGTACAGTAACTGTCAAGTTTTATAATTCGAAAAGTGCTTAATAAAAAAAAATACTTTATTATAGTGTTTTGAAAACGTCTCAACTTCAACTACAAGAATATGCAATAAAAAATAGTGATTCCTATTTAAAAAATTCATGTTGATCTTGACCTGATCTTAGTAATGTCCGATATACAAAATCTGTTATTTCCACTTTCTTTCCTTCAAGAAAATCTACAACTTTTATATAAAACTTTTTCCTGTATCTCTCTTATAGCGTATTCGATTAACTGTCTCAATTCAACTTCGAGTCAATGGTCTGTTCTGTTTAGTTGTAAAAGAATATCTAAACTATACAAGAAATGCTAAAAAGAACAGACTCGGAGTCGGGTCAGGTCAGTAAATTGAATATGTTATTAATTTCTGAGATGTCCCAGGCGGATGTCACACACACACACACACACACGCGCGCGCGCGCGCTTTTATGTAAATTTTTGGCTGTTTACCTCAATCCAACCATATTGGAATGATTTCCTTGTCCAAGACCGATTAAGTCGCACAGATATTTTATGTTGTTTGGATTGTTGAAGCCAGTACTATTCTCCAACAGCGTTTCATAACTCTGACCTTTGTTGTCCATCGCTTTCCTATACCACAGAGAAAAATACGTAGTTACTAAATATTGCAAACATCATGGTGTCCTTTGCCAAAGAGGAAACCAAAGCTACTTCATTAACGGTAAAACTAAAGACTTGATAATCATGACAGCCGAGTCCTTATTGATCCTGTCCATAAAAAACATCGCCTGTTTGGCAATTCGTGTGCGCCTGCTCTTCGACATCTTGTCGTATTCCATATACTTTTCTGCTGTGTAAGCACATGCATACTCGTGTGCATTATTTACTGCAGTCTTCCCATATACACATATAACAAAGTACAATTATTCATTTATTCCTGCACAATGATAATTCTTCACTTCGATCTGCATGTATTAATCACTGACACGATACTAATGCCAAAAGTGCTTTAAATACTAATTCGGTTCTTCTTGATTACATTATAGAATATTATACAACTTTTGATATTAGAATCGTTCAAAATCTACGTTTAAACCGTTAAGAAGCAGCAGGGGTCCGAAACTGGGATACGGTGCAGAAGGTAAGATTCCTTTTTTTATTAACAAATATAATCTCAATGTTATAAATTTACATTGGTAACGCAACCTCAGTATTATGTAAACTCGTCTCTCACCTTTCACCGTTAAGACGCATATTTCTAGTATTTTGTAATCAGAGGATTTTTTTTTCTCAACACAAAAGCACACGGCCTATCATCAATCGATGGTGTGGTTTCGGTTTTTACAAGTTTTTTTGGTGCGATAAAATAAATTGCATAACCCTAGGATAGGTTGGGAGCCACGCCTGATATATTATCTTCCAAGGCGGACCAAAAAAATTTTTTAAGATGTAGAAGTTTCATCGGTTTGCATTTTGTGATGTCAATTATCAACATGACATCACTTTTTTTTATTTGTCAATATAAGCTGTAAGTTTAAACATTAAGGCATTATTATGATAAGGCGCGATTCTTTTGAGGATTAAAGGTAAAAAGGTTTTTGGGCGATTAAGACTCGAGTTGTTTGGTCTCTGCTTTAAATCTCATAATATTTTCTCTATAGATTATAAATCTATTCCACCTTACCTTCAACAACGAAAATTACGATCGGACACGAAAATATGGATACCTCTTGCCACGATACATGATTTGCGCAAAAAGATTATATTAGTATACATTTTAAAAGAGAATACAAAAACATACATATGGATATATATACTTGATATCTTTATAAGAGACCAAACAACTTTAAATCAGTGTTATACCTACCGTCTGTTGCATTCATTTTGACTGCTCAAGGCTCAAATCAAGGTCTCATACTGGAAATTCAATCTCAAAAGTCATTTGCGCCATAGTCTGGCTGGTGCTTTGAGAGTAATATATCACAAACGTAGAGAGAATATGTGCGCAATAGAGCCATGTCAACCAATGCTCAAGGTTTGAATTCATTTGTATCACATTAGAAATTCATCATCATACTGACTATCAACTTTTTACGTTACATAGAGTGTCTGGCACCTAAATTCATAAAAATGTGTAAGAGGAATCAAAACTAATTCACCTAATTTTGTTAGTATCAGTGCTTCTGTTAAAAAGTTCGCCTTTCTTTTTCCACCATGCCATATTATCCTTACCTTCAATTTATAATTTAAAAAAAAAAAAAAAAAAAAACCAAAGACAAACTGAAACGGACAAAACACGACAAATTACATATGTAATAATATAATCTATTATGATATGGAACAATATACAATTAAAAGAAAAAAATCAGTATGGACTTTACATCTAAATGTACCATATTTAATTTCAATGTATCACAATTAAAAAAAAAATTCTATTTCACAGTGCAAATGCTCTTACAGTAATACATAATGAACAAAAGTGTGACATCACAAAATGCTCTCATTGTTTATCATGTGAATAGAACATCCCCTGGAGATACATAGTCAACACTTACAAGAGTTAGTGAAGCATATTATGGATTCGGTAGACTTGCAATTACATGTAGTCAGTGCATTGTGTTAACTTACTTGTAGGCTTCTGGAAGATCATCGGAATGGATAAGCCCCATAGATGGGTGTGGTGCTTGCCCTTCCCGGGCAGGTACGTTCATAACTGCAACAACTCGTTCGGCTTCAACGTTAACTTCACTGACTACGACGCAGACGAGATCATTTGCCATGTAGCCTCTTGTAACACCTTTCTTGTCCACCGCCGGCACAGTGGCCGCATTTAGTATTAGTGCCTAATAAACACAACATGCAAAAATCTCTGTTATTAAACAAAATCAAGATATGATAATGTACCTATATACAAATTGGCTAATTGCGAGTACTCGAAAGATTATCGGATCACAATAGCGGCTGAACCGTTAAATTTCCGAGTAGGCTCAATCGATAGCTTAGGTTTGATTTGAAATATGTTAAACATGATACATAGAATAATTAAAAAGCAATATTTATAAATTAACATACCTAGAGATCCTAAAAGTAGAGATCGGCCAAAGCCCGGCATGTTGTGAAATCGAAAATCACGTGATCTTGGAAATACGCGTCAATATATCAATGCCAATTTCGATGAGAATCTTGATAGCAAACTGGTGTCGCCTCTCTCTCTCTCTCTCATCTGATTTCACAACATGGCAGAGCCAATCACGGATCGAGTCGGCATTGGATGATCTCTACTTTTATAGGATCTCTAGACATACCTTAACTCCTAATTCAGTAACAACTCTAGGACAGTCACTGCAGTTACAAAGCACCTTCAGAAGAAGACCTGCGGCGCTTTTACCCATTACTTGCGCGAATATCACATCCCCAATTACTAAACTCTACAAATTAGATAAATAATATCAAATCAGAATTGCAAATTAGGATTATTTAGAAACTATAACGCATTTATTTCCTAATCCTTATATCATTTACCTCCAAAAAATTACGGATACGCTGGGACTTCTCCATGGTGACAAAAATATCAAGTGCAGGCACTGTAGCATAAAACTCTGAAACATGATACATGGACATTACACAATATTGTGTAATATTAGGTACATTGCGTTTAAATGGAAAAAAAAATATATATATATATGTAAGAAATTAACTTAGATGAAATGCACGATGAGACATTTATAGGGAAAAGAAACTGATATATTTTCTTCAATTCAATCTTTTTATTCACTGAACTTTACACTGTTCGAATGATCGATTTTTAACGAAATTGGGTAGATAAATTGGTGTAGAACATTCTAGGTTCTCGAACTCGTTAAAAATCGATCATTTGAACAGTGTACGATTCAGTGAATAAAGGGATTGAATTGAAGAAAATATACCAGGTTCTTTTTCCTATAAATGTCTCATTGTTCATTTCGTCTAAGTAATTATAGAAGACATTGAAAAATTATTACCTTCATCTGCCAGCTCTGGCTTGTTACATTCTGAAGATTTCTCCAAGTTTGCTTTATCATATAGGTCATCAGCTTTTTTAGTGAGAAACTGTTGAAGCTTTAGACGTTTCCCTCTATCTCCAAAGCTGTAAAGTACAATTTTAACAAAAGAATGACAACAGATTCCAAATAGTGCATCTGCGTCTAGATAATTTCAAATGTGTGATCGACATATACCTGAGAGTTTTTTGCCGTTGTTGATAGATTTCAAAGCTAGGATCCTTGAGATTGAGCATGACTAGCTCATTTTCGTTGCGTTCTCCTTCCCATACTTTCTGCAACTGCTGACCATGGTAGTTCAACGCTTGCGCTACTAGACGCGCATCCATTGATTCCATTCTCGCTCAGCAGAGACGAACCTAATCTGCAAGACTATGAAAATCATTGCATTCGAATTATTCGTGTCCTTCGATCGCAACGATGAGAATATTCAAGTATGTCCATTATATTATGTGTCCAAAAAAATTAAGACACAGGTATATCGGCACATTGTTATGTGGAGGCATCTCTAACCGTTCTCTCATGCATAAAAAAAAGCCTTTTGAGCACACGACATCCAATGACCAAGGCAACGTGGTGTCCGCTGAACGAACCGTAGTTCAGCAAAATTCTAAAAATTACCCATCTCACACGTCTCTATTTATTACCGCATGCACAGTCGAGTAAACGTCTGGCGGTATTTGTGTGCAACTACTGGAAGGTCGCAGGCATTTTTGGCGCGTCATCACGCTGTCCGGAAACAAAGCGACCACGCCGTCAGCGAAACTTTGCATCATCCAACCTCGTGTCGAGATAAGCATGCTACCTACGCATCGGGTATATCGTCTACATATGGAAGTGTCGCCGTTAATTCACGACAACGTGTATATACATGTGTATGTATATATATATATATATGTAGGCAAGATACGCGAGCTATATCGATCTCTCCTCCTCGACAAGATGGTCGTTGAAAATCCGGGGATTACGGGAACGGCATCGGGCGCCATGACGCATCTATTTTCTCTCGCCGTTGTCGAATCCGCCACCTTTCCAACGCATGTTTCTCGACCGCCCGCAACCAGAAATTACGAGTGCTACTTACTGCTCACCTCGGCGTTTTATGTACCGCGAAGAATCCGGTAAAGGAACTCGGGCAAGAATTACGTCGCCCTACGTGACATCGTCGACAGCAAACAAACGCGTGCACACACGTCGAAGAACGTCGCACGATTCACGAATTGTGACGCGGCGGAAACGATGATGGTGCGAAACCGAAACGATCGTGCGGCGCATGCGCAATGCGAAACTACCTTTATCGAACGTCGAATGCCAGCGGCCAGCCGCCCACAACCATATAAGCGTGCGTGGCGTGCCGCGCCCCACATGACGAAGTAGTTCTCGCCGAACGATCTCTTGGAATATTAATCTAATGGCAACATAGACTAATATTCATAATCGGTTCTTATACATATTTAAGGCCATTATAAATAAAGTCTTAGGGTTGGTTTATAATATACCGTAATCTGTTAACTTTTTCCGTTATCTATAAGAATTGACCAATCACGGTCGAGTGAGAGGAGAATAATTACTATGATTGGTCAATTCTTATAGATTACGGAAAAAGTTAACACATTACGGTCTATTATAAACCAACACTTTAGGTTGGTATTCATAGTCAGTTCTTATATTCAAAACCGTCTTAAGTTTTGTCTTGAAGTGTCACGAACCAATCAGAGAGCCGTATTAGCGTTTTAAGACATTACTTAAGACGGTCTTGAAATAAGAACCGACTCTGAATACCGGCCTTAGAACGGAATCCATAGTCCGGGCTTAAGGCCATGGCACACAAAAAAACTTAAGCGGTAAAACGTAAGCAGTAAGCGAATTGACCAATCACAGTAGAGTCCGTAAGGCCATAACATAAGCAGTAGTGAATCCAACATGTTGATTTCCTTACTGCTTACGTCTTACTACCTTAAGTTTTTTGTGTGCCAGGGCCCTTAATCTCAAGCAATGGGCGAGTTCAAGACAGCAAAGCAGCTAGGCATGCTTACCGAGCGATTGAATATGATTGGTTGGATCTATAAGTAATAACCAATTATGTTCATTTGCTCGGCGAGCAGGCTAGCCGCTTTGTCAACTTGAACGCGCCCAATGTCTTGAGATGCTAATACGGCTCTCTGATTGGTTCATACACCAGCTTAAGACCATTTCGAATCCTGAGCAACGTCTATGGATTCCGCCTTTAGGACTTACTCCGGATCAACAATAGGGTTTTAAGCTTTAAACCATAAGAAATGGGCGAATCACAGTCGATTATTCTCCTCGAATTAAACTGTAATTGGTCAATTTCTTACGACTTAAGGCTTGAAACACTTATTGTAGATCCGGGGTTACTCCGGATCTACAATAGGGTTTTAAGTCTTAAGCCATAAGAAATGGGCGAATCACAGTCGATTATTCTCTTCGAATTCGATTGTAATTGGTGAATTTCTTACGACTTAAGGCTTAAAACACCTATTGTAGATCCGGACTTAAGCGGGGAGCACAGACTTTTGCATAACGCATAACATGTAATGCATAAGAAATTCAATCAATCAGAATTCTTTATTTCATGGAAAGGAAGGAAACGGAGGGCTTTGATTGGTACATTTTTTTATGCATTACGTGTTATGCGTTATGCAAGAGTCTGTGCTCCCCGCTTTATAGTCGAATCCAAAGGGAATAATCGACTATGATTCGCCCATTTCTTATGGCTTAAGGCTTAAAATCCTATTATAGATCCGGGGTTAGGGTGCCTTCCAACAAGCGACTCAGTACAACACAATGATCATCTCATCTTTGTTTATCATTTATATTGGCGAACAACAAGAATGTAATGATGCACCATGTGTCTCTTGGAAGGCACCCTTAAGCTATCATAAACCAATGACTGCGTTCAGCAAAGAAAACTAATCAATAGCGGAATTCTCTAAACATTTTTTCGATTATTGTCGCTATCGTTAACTAACGACAACCAATGGCAGGACAATCCTGGAAGAAAGAACGGCTCTCATTGGCTGTCGTTAGTTAACGATAATTAGTTAACAATTATCGATAAAACGTTTAGAAAATCCCGCAATACAGTAAGCGCTTAGTAATTCTTCAATATAATTGGTTCCTGCACTTAAATCCAGTGAAGAACTAAAAGCAAGAACTAGTCATATTAAAGAATCACTAAAGAGCTGATTAGTTTTCTCTGCTGAACGCAGCCAATGCTTTTTCTGCTGCGTTTAGCAGAAAAAGCAGCTTTGCAACTGTTGTAAAATTCTTCAATATGATTGGTTTATACATTTAGATCCATAAGGAACCAAAAGCAAGAACCAATCGTATTCAAGAATTTTACAAGTTGCAAAGTTGCTTTCTCTGCTAAATGCAGCCAATTAGAACCGTAGCAGATATAAACGTCGTTCTATGATGGCTGTGTTCCAAAATTCACTACCACTGCTGAAAATGTATAGTATACGTAACGTAAATTGTAGATTTTCAGTGCCGGCAGTGAATTTTGGAATACAGTCCTTCTTTGGCAAGACCGCCAGAGATATGCAAGTTGTGCATTTGTTAATGCACAAAGGCGCATTAACAAAGAGGGCACCAAATTAAATTTTAAAAATCAATTCTCTATTCCTGTAAAAATTCTCTATCTCTGAATTGCATGTGCTCGCTTTTATTAGATTTAATTTCTTCCAAAACGTGTACTGTACATTTAGAGAAATATTTTTGTTTCAGGGATTTGTAACTTTTTTTCTAGAGCGGAAATGTAAAAAGTAAAAATTTTTATTATTAAATTAATTTAAGTTTTTCACTTTTCACATTTTGTCTTAGAGAAAATGTTATAGATCAGTATCCTAGCTGATACTAAAATGGTTCTGTATGTACTGAAAGATTGTAACAGCATCGAGAAATAAACACTATTCGATCCAACCAATCGTTTCAAATTTTCACGACACAGTTTCTCTTTGAAACAAAAAATTGCATCCTAAAGATATTTAAAAAATAACTTATTTAAAAGATAAATAAAAATATTATGAGGAGCACGCGATAAAATCCCTTTTACATAAATTAAGTCGCCATATGCGTCAGCGATTGCATTTTGGAATTCAATGAATAATAAAAAAAGGACAACACTTGTTTCCTAAAAGGAAAGTAGCCCAAATTATATTAAGATCTTGAAATAATATATTTTTGTTGTAAACTGCACGACTCAAAGACAAATGCAGTTGGAATGGAATAAGCCACGCTTTAACAATATAATAATTTAATATATAAACGATACGCTTGATAACAATCAAGAATTTGCAATAATAAATGATAACACAGCAAAGATACAAAATATTTCTTATTTTACAGCTTGTAAAATAAGTACAACAGACATTGTTTTATATTGGAAAAATTTAACAAGCTAGCTGAGGAACATATTCAATAATTCAGTCTTATCTAATTGTGTATACTTAATAAGTGGCATTTTACAGTATATTGTCATTTCATGTCTTTTAATAAAAATAGGCAAATATTCCTACTTTCGGCTGTAAAATAATATTATAATTTTAAATTATCTATGTATTATTTCTGCAGCATTCTCAAAAATTTATTCTTTATGGAAAGTGATTTTAACTCGTCACGTTGACTTCGTGAAATATTCACGCGAAATTTTATCGCAACCATACGTTATTTATTGGCCTACATAAATCATCAATCACACGAGAGAGATGTATATAAACATTCTCGTTTCTTTCACTAACTTTTCTTCTTGAGCCTTTCTTTGCTCTTTACATCCACATTCCAGTAATAAAGAAGCTGTGTCACTATTATAGCATTTGCTAAAGTGGAACACACATACATTAATATCATAGTGATATCACCTGTTTCTTGAACAGAAGTAAAAATTCTAGCAAGAGAACCCAAGAACAGCAAGAAACATGTTGCTGCCGATAACTGGCCGGTACTTCCATTGACATAATTTGTATAAGCTTGCATAAACTGTAACCCCATATAAAATCATGGATTAATATATTTGTAATATATGTAAGATAAGAATAACAAATTCTCAAAAGTAGTTATAGTTCTGATAATCTAATGCCTTACCTTACTAATAAGAACAATGGGTATATTCATCGCTTGACATACCCAGAGAACATTGATAGGTGTTAATCCACTATTAGCTGCAGAAATCACTGCTATATAAGCAGAAAGGAACGCAGTTGCTTTTGCTGTGTTTCCATTATAATGCATTACTAGAATTGCGATGATCAAAGTTTGAAGCCCTAAAAATACTCCATCTCCCCAGGCACTGAAATTAATACCAACATAAGTAAAAATAAATGTATATAAAAACAGAAAATCTTGTATGTTCACACATACATACACAACTTTCGTGTTTAAAAATTATTCACCTAAATGGAAATCTATTGCAGAAACTGTAGGAAGACATCGCGGTGATAGCAAATAAATCCAATAATACACTGAAGATGTTGATTCCCTCGCCACTTTTATTTTTTAGAATTTTTACAATTTGAGGTACTTTCACTAAAAAGAAAATAACAACAAGTTAGATAAGGTCCAAGATAAAAACATTTTTAGGAAACATGAAATAAGAATTATTTAGACAAACAATGAGGTAAGAATATATTTAGATAAAACACATAAAATGCTGTAAAATAGCTACACGTATGTAACTAAATAAATTAAATTTATATTAATAATACATAAAAAACAATAGCATTCCCTATTCCTTATGATAATTATGCATAAGATTATAGTTGTTAAATAAAATACTTCAGTTTATATATTTTTGAAGCAACATGAAGTAAATATTTCTTTATACCTAAAAATAACATACTAACCAAGAAAGGAACCTCCAATGATGCCTAGTCCTAGAGCTTTGCTCAATGTTGTCTTGAAGCATCCGACTAAAACATTTTCAGGATAATGCTTTACGTCCTTGTATGTGTGATTATATGTGTTTATTAAAAAATTCATTTTTAATCTCAACGATTTCACAAGTTATCAACAAATTTAAAAAATGTCACATATACAAAACAGTCAAACATCGCGCAACAATATCTAAAATTACATAAACAAGACAAAAATGGTTTGACTTTTAATAAGATTAATTAGTCACTCACTTAAACTCGATTATAATTTTAAATTTTAAATGTCGGAAACATTACTGCTTTTAAGTCAGAAATAAAATGTCACTGAAGAATTGTAAAAAGCTCGCGATAAAAATTAAATACTATCGGAGCGAACATACCGTGGAGAAAATTGAACTTATCAAAGTACTCCTTCATGCATTCCTGAGTAAACAAAAATAACGTCGCTTTTCTGATATATTGTGCCATATTGCAACAATTTGTTCCGTCTTCTTCATCGACTGCAACGTACTATCTCACGATGTAAATGCACGTGAAATGTATAATAGGAGGCTCAGGTACATTTAGATGAGAGACGTCAGTTTCGTAATCGCCGTCTTAAATAATCAGTGACAAGCAGTGATAAGAAACTATTAAAAAAACAATCCAATGCCAAGTGCCAATACTGCCAACTCACATAATTGGCGCTTACGACATCAGTAGTAATATTTTTCAATTACATAGAATAACTTTGACCTCTCGGATGGTAATAGATCAACAAAGAGTCTGAAAAAAAAAACAGGTTTTTTTACTTCGAAATAGAAGTTAAGTCAAAATCTTATTTTTATTATACTAATTTATTACAGTGATTTACTATATTAAGTTTTTATTGATTATCGTTTATAGCTACTAATTATAAAAATTATTAAATCGCCTTGATCATTTGTAAAAAAATATAACAGATAGACAATTTAAAATATAGAAATTATTGGAAGTATTAATTTAATTTTATGATACAAATAGATGATAACTTACCAGTAATTCACATTGTGTAAGTAGTTTTGTTCGTTAAGTTCAGAGGTGCTAGTGTCTAACTTTCAATATGGCGACCCATATAACTTCATTTTTGTTACAATTATTATTGAATTATGGGGATCTTAAAACCGTTTATATTACTGACTAAATCGTAATTTTTTTGTATAACAAATACTTTTTTTCTCTTTATCCTCAAAAATAGGGATTTCCATTTTAAAAAAACATTAATGACCTTGACCTGATTTTGACAAGGTCACTCAAGGTCAAGTCCACATTTCCATCATGTGTCCCCCTTCAAGTCATACAACTTTTATTTGAAAAATTTTTCAATAAAATCGTTTCGTGAGATAATCGACCATATTATTTAAAATGAAATACCCTGTATATATTCCGCAAAATTTTAATTTCTGAATTATGCGAAATGTTGAACCGTTCCCCACATTTTAATTGATTTTTCTCGTATTAATGTTTAATATCTTTTTAGGTTAGAGTGCTGAGGATGATACTATGTAATTATTTATAATTACTAATTTTATGTTTTCAAGCTTATTTATAACTATTTATTTATATATAACTACTTACTATTTTTATATTTTAAAAAGTTTATTTTATCATTATTCTAAAAGCACTGTTATTATTTTTTTGTTTGATTGTTTAAATTAATAAACCTTTATTTTTTAGCAAATCTCTTAATTTTTATCTTATTTTTAATTTTCTAGTTACATCTAACCAAACTTTTGATTTTATAAGAAAATAGACACAAAATTTTAATATTATATTTTATTATAAATATATTTTACTTGCTTTTATGATGATTGTTCAATTATTTATTCAATTATTATAACTCCTAAATAATAAATTTGTAATCAAAAGGATCCCGCAGTTTTCTTATGGGAAAGTACTTTCGGTCAAAATGGCTGAAAATTTAGTATGTGATAGCTTATGGTGTCCTGATCAAAAGTCTCAATGGGCACTAAATGTGGTCCTAAAATTTACTGGTTCTGAGATATATTGGAGTTCAAAGATCGATAATGAAGATATAGCTATTTTTAAATAATATTAGGTACTTTTTGCCAGTCATGTGTAGAATGATGAAAGTAAAAATCGATCCAGCAAATGAAACAGAATCCTAAATCCATAAATCATATATACACCCATAAACCGTAAATCAATAAATCCATACATAATTATGTAAGACACTTACAATTCTTCATTTTCACTGTTAATACACTGCCAGATTTTATCGGCTAGATAGCGGTTATTCTACTTCAATCTGTCTTTTTCAAGGCTTTGATTTACTAAAAGTAAATGAACATTTTTCAAAAAATTCTTTTTATTTTTAATATATCTTTTCCATTTTTGGTTCAATATAGTTAATTTGTTTCTGACAAATATTTCACAAACTATTTTTGAAAGCAATTGATTTATCTGTAACAAATCTTGCAAACAATGTTTCTAAGACCGCGGTTTGTTACAAGTTAGTTTTATAATCTGCCTTTTACAAAGTAATTAGTTGTATAAACGTGCGTTATGAAGATGAGAAACGTTTAAAAAATCGAAAAATGATTATAATATTATATAAAACGTATAATACGCGTTTATATTACTATTCATGTATATAAAAATATTTAATAAACATATATTCTAGACAATGAAAACATTTTTCGTGTTTTTTATATACCAATGAAATATTTATATTGTATATTAAAAGGCAATGTAGCAACGTGTTACTTTTCATAATAATCGATTTGAGGCCATATCTACCTTTGAGCTCCAATATCTCAGAACCTGTTGATTTTAGAACTACGTGCCCATTGAGACTTTTGATCAGCACACCATAAACTATCACATACTAAATTTTCAGCCATTTTGACTGAAAGTACTTTCGCATAAGAAAATTGCGGGGTCATACTAATCGGGCTCTCGAAATTAAAAAACAAAAATATAATATACGGACAATGAGAGCGTTAATACAGCGCGGTAATTGGTGCGAAATGACAGTTGAAAAATGTTGAAATTATGTTCTATGAGACCGAGGAAGAATGTCTCTCTACTATCTGGTTGGGAATTGCCCAATTTTTGTCTCTTCGCTGCTTAGCCAAGTGACTTAAAAGTTAAACAAAATTGTGCTTTGAAAATACACTTCACACTTTCACCCTGGTGCACAATTTTGGGGCTTACTTTACAGTTTATTTATTTTTTTTTCATTAGTTAAGTAATGACGGTACCTGGGAGAGTTTCTGCAACCCGTATAAAATCGGAAAGGTAAAGTTTTATGACACAAAGAAGGATAGGAGCTTAGAAGAAGCGTTTCAATTCTAGAGTGGAAAAGAAAGGGGAATATTTACAAAAAACCCTGATAAATGAAAAATTAAAAGTGAAGCAAGGCATTATAACAAATCAGGAAAGATAAAAAACGAAGGTGATTCTTCAACATAGCGAAACAAGAGCAGGCAAGATAAAAACATATCAGAGCATCGGATAAGACGAGCGAAAGTGAGCGTGATCTATATATGAAAGTAGCGGAAAAAGAGTAAAAAAGATTTTGGTAAACGACATTTAATGCGAAACGGTAGATCTTCTAGATTAGTGCTGGTTTTACTTGCACATTTTAATAATACCATTTAGGCTGCGCGCGGATTGGTGTAAGGGGCAGGAACTAAGCTAAAAATCGGCCGAAATGTGCAAGTAAATCGCAACACTGTTTTAGATTATAATTCCCGACTTGTCGGAAAAGTGGATTTTGATGGTGAGCATTACACGAGCGAGAGATCATTCAAGCAATAACAGAATCAATTCTATATCTGATAGTTTATAAATCAGTAATTAATGTATACCTAGGTTTGGCAAGAATGATGCATAGACAACTGTTCTGCACTAGCTGAAGACGATCGAAATGAGGACGAGACGCGGCAGCCTGTACTGAAGCCGCGTAGATTACTTTATAGGCGAAATATTGTGCTCCTTATATTCTCTCTCAGATAATTCCCAATTGAATATTTTGTGACGATTCTTTCACTGTGTTGGAATATTCGGCATTGAGAATACCCAAGCAGAACAATAAGTCACGATAATATTAGAATGACATTAAAAATGAATCGGAATGATTAACAAATGACTTTTAATGATCATTTCGGAATCATTTTGACATCATTTGATTTTATAATGATTTGCTCTGCTTGAGTAAGAGAATCAAATTTTTTATAAATATTTATAAATAGCGTTAACTGGGCTATTTTAAAAAAACCAGATATCTGAAAGGTAGATAAGACAAAATTAATTTATTCTTTGTAAACATAATTAATTATACTATCGTATATAGCATCTAAATAAATTTAATTAAAATTTAAATATATTAATCAATGTTAGTCGAATTAGGGGAGTTTAGGGGAAGGGGGAATTAGTAGCGTCTTAGATTGATTGTCCGAAGATTTCGGCACACAGTCATCATGTCTGAGATATATTTTTTATTAGTTATTAGGTTATTACAAAATTTTATCACAATTTATTTTTATAGGATAAGAGGAAAGTTAATGAATAAAATTTTTGAAGAACCGCGTCATCGTGTTGGAGAACGCGACATTTTTATTACCATGCGCCAAAGGTCGCGCAACCTTGACATTCACTCGATATAAATAATAATATGTACTTACTTATAAGTTAAATAAGAAATAGATGATATCTCAATGGCATAAGATACGTCGTGAAAGAAACTTATGCATTGAAAAATAAGTTTAGATAATTAAAGAAAATTAAACAAAAATCCATGATACGACATACATATGTGAAATTTTCAAAGAATAACTTTTGAACTTACTTTACTTTTTTTATATGTAACTTTATTATTTTACGGTAATTATTTCATGGAAATTTGTTCATGTACGTATATTATGACCCGTATTCAAAACGCGCTAACTTAGAATATTAGCGCGCTAACATACTATACTTTATGTTACGCATATTATAGAATTTCAAAGATAAAAGCGTGTTCTGAATACGGGCCTTCATGTTTTTGTATAAATTTGCACCTACATGTACGAATATTCTCACATATTTCTCACGCGCATGTACATACACCCGATGATATGCAATCGGCAACTTCATCTTTTACTGTCGCCGACGCTGCCCGTCAGCAACAGTAATATGTCAACCACACGAATCTTTTGTGTTTCTCTATTCTATTAATGTTTCGTTAAGCAAATTTCTCAAAATTTCAAAGTATCATCGGAGATCAACGCCGCGCTCGCGCGCGCCTTATCTCACACGCGATCAACGCTAAATTTAGTATCAGAGACGGAATTTGGCCAGTTGCCGAAAATAGACCAGTTATCAAACGGAGATCGAGATTTATTCCCTCCTGCCCTCTCATAATTAGCGATACCAGGCCGAGCGAACGATTCATCAAGCTACCACCTGCCGCGACTTCTCCACGCGGTCACGGAGATGCAGCCGTGTAAGTAGGTCAGAGTGCATGCAAAGTCGAGGAACGAAGTGTGGTCCGATTAACCACGTGATCGCTTTGACTTCCTCGCCTATATTCCAACGGAGGTCGCACGGGGGTGTGCTGCGGGGGTGTGCGGAGGTGCCTGGTACGCTCCTCGTTGCGCTCTGCAACTACCACCCGCCAGGCTCACGTGTCCAGGAACGTTCCGTTTGCCATTATTGCCCAGGTTAACGCAATCGTTTACCTTGTTCATTGTATGTACGCATCCCTCAAGTAACAATTAGAATGTACTCGAGAGCATGTCTTATCACATATCGGATATCCTTACAGAAATCCAACTTAATACTGGAAGGTAGTGTTTAATTACTTATTTCGAATCTTAAAAATATTGAACCACAGTGCTCTTAATATTTGAAAGAATTATAATTAATTATTATTAATCAATAACAATTTAATACTTTTAAATAACAATTTAATATTTTTAATATTAAATTTCTCTAAAAATATATTATATATAGTTTTGTTTATGTAACAATTTTCGAATTGTAACTTTATAGTTTAATAGTATTTGGATGCTTTGTCAGAGATAAGAATTAATAAAAAAAACCAGTAAAAACCAATATCTTATTTCAAATAAGACTTATTTTTGGGTACATTAGAATTATTGTTTTATGAGGAAAAAACTAGACAAAGCAATCTTATAAAAATTTTGTTACAATATAATTAAGACAGTGCAGCAAAGAGTTTCCTATGAATCGAACTTTTTCTCCAGTTAGTTTGAACTAATTGGTTCCTTTCAATGGCTCGGGGAAGAAGTAAGGGAGATTTCATTAAACGATTTTCTCGATAAGGCGGCGAGGTATCAGTGCGATCTTACTATTTCGATAAGGGGCGCGCCTTAAAACACCCCTGAGGCGCGCGCCTGCGAAATATCAGATTCTACCACCTCACTCGCGTATGTCCACATCGTCGTCGTTCAGTCTTGCCTCCACTTCCATCCGGGAGTGTTTTTCATCTTCACCCGAATAGTCTACCGATCTACCGCGCGACTCCTAGTTCTCCGTTTGATCCTCGAAGCAACAGTCATTAATTGGTCTTGCGCAAATACATTTACTCTTTGATATCTGCAAAGGATGTATTTATTAGGACAGCAACGAGGATTCAACAGGTATCAGAAGTGGCGCAATGAGCTTCGTTACAAGTTACTGAGTTTTATTAAAAACTAAGCACATGCTCTTCTTCTCGCGTCGTTCGCGTTAAATTATATTTTTGGGGCGCGTTTAGATTCCCCCCTCCTCCCCAAATGCTCCCCAGGTATTACACTATCCTTGTTTAACATTTAGTGAACAACAAAGTTAAAATAATATGTAGGTGGTGTACTTAGGTAGAAATCTGAACATAGTTCTGGAATTTTTATACATTGAACATTAATCCTTATCACATATGTTTGAGTCATTTGTGTTCTGCATATTTTTTTTCTTTGAAATATTAGGAGTACCAAATAATTAGTTATAATATTCATATACAATTTTTTAAATACACAAATTTACAAATAGTTTCTAAAGATGTTAAAGTACACTAAAGATGTAAAAATCACCTAATAATTTTTTTTTAAATGATGATAACACGAACGGCTGATTGTCTACAGTATGGGATTGAAAAATCATCGTATATAACGAAAGGTTCAAATTAGTTTTATTAGAAATAATATGTGACTTCAGATCTAATCTAACAAATTGTAAATGTAAATATATTTGCAAAAGTAGTTTCAGATTAAAACAACGGCGCTTCCTTTGAGTACATCTTTTGCCGGAATCAATCGAAGCGATGAAGAACACGTGAAAATTAACGTATTTGCGCGGGAAGCTGTGCGGTAGATCCACTACATGAATGTCAAAGATGGATCCTCTTCAAATCTGGAAAGCTCAAGCGAAGACAAGAAAGACAAGAAAGAAAACGTCGAGAATGAAGATGAAAATCCCGGAGTGGAAGTGGTGACAAAGGCGGATGTGACAGATTGTGATATCAAATCCCTCAAAGGTTTGAAATATTCATATCAACACTCAAGAGCGAATAAATATATAAGTAACATATTATAATCGTATATCTTTTATAATTTTTATTAAAGAGGAACCAGACTGTCTGGAAAACAAATGTGAGTCGTCTTTAGAACTGCCTTTAGAACCAACTCTTCACGAGCGATTTTTGCGTATTAAGCAAATCGTGAAGGACGCTATAGCTGCCCATCATACTTTTATGATTTACGGCAAGTCACGGGTCATTCGCGATTGCATGTTGAAGCGAGGATGGTGTGAGAAATTTTATCGCAGGAACAGCGGCGGTAATAAATCACGTACAACTTTATAATTACTCTAATGGACGATTTTAGTTTTTTTTTCAAGTGCAGCAAGGTGCAGCATTCTTCTACGTTGCAGTTTGAGCACAGTCACTCACTTCATCCAGTCAGAAATGATTTGACTAATTATTTCTAGTATGTCTAGTATGTCTTTGAATTGATATAACAATGATTTCAGGTGATCAACATTTCAACGTCGATTCTAACCCAGTGCTTCTATTGGCTGGTATCGGCGATCTAAAGGATGAGCAAAGTGAACGTTTATTGATGTCGAGGATGCTCGCCAATCACACCGTTGACTTCCTGTGGAACACTGGGTCCGATTGGCCCGGATGGCCTGCTCAAGATAATAAAACTACTGTGTTCAATCGATATTGTCGAGCTGGCTTCACATCTAAGGTATCACACACACATCCGTGCATCAACTATTTTTAACTTCGATGAGGTATTAATTTTTACACTTAGAAAAAAGTGGCAGTAACTATAAAGGTGACAATTTTATACAAGTTTTGTATGTAGAATTAATGTGTATATATATATATATATACAGGGTGATCGAAAAGTATCGGACCCCCTTAATATCTTCAGTTAGAATGCATTTTGGAGAAAATGTCCAATAACAAAGTTGTATGGTTTCAAGCGAGGAGTAAAATGATGACCTTAACTTTGATCTTGACCATGTTCTTTAAGGTCAACCTTATTTTTTTAAATGGAACCCCCTACATTTTATTGCATATTTTTATAGTTTATCTCGAGAGCTTTCCAAAACACACACTATAATAAAATATTTTTTCATTAAGTACTTTTTGAGTACTTATAAAGGTTTGAAGTTAACAATTCTTACTGAAAATATTAGGGGGATCCGACACTTTTTGATTAATGTATTTTCTTTAAACCAATTAATTGGTCTCATTATTCCGCGCACAAAAGTATTAAGGTTATGATTACTGAAAACTAAATAATATTTTACAAGATTTACATTTTGTGTCAAAAAATTGTTAACTTCAAACCTTTATAACTCAAAAAGTACTTAATGAAAAAATGTTTTATTATAGTGTTTTGGAAAGCTCTCGAGATAAGCTATAAAAATATGCAATAAAATGTAGGGGGTTCCATTTAAAAGAATAAGGTTGACCTTGAAATGACCTTAAAGGACATGGTCAAGATCAAAGTCAAGGTCATCATCTTACTCCTCGCTTGAAACCATACAACTTTGCTATTGGACATTTTCTCCAAAATGCATTCTAACTGAAGATATTAGAGGGGTCCGATACTTTTCAATGACCCTGTATATATAGTTGAATAAACTATTTTATTATAGTAATAATAGGTATGTAGGTAATAATAGGTATATAGTTATAGTAATAATAAGTATGTTGTCACCTTTATAGTTTCAACCTCTAATTTTTCTTTGAGAGCCCAGTTCACATACAATGTAAAATAACGACTTTTCTATTATTAGCAGAAGACTATCTGCGAATAATTTCTCTCAAAAGCTTGGCGAGCTTGACCTTTCGTAAAATTGCTTTTTTTTTAAGCATAGCGATGTTTGTAAAGATTGGCGAATGCACGCTTTTCGTGAGCGTGACGGCGATTGTTAGGAATAAAGCTGCATGTACTTCTTTGAAAATCAATTATTCAGGTGGGCTTGTGTTCAAGCGTCAGGCAAATGCATTGGTATTACGAAGCTGGAGTGGCTAACACTTTGTTTCCACGTTGCTACAACATATGTCAGAGCGATCAGATGCATGCTTTCGTCGAGGACTTTCGGTGAGAGTTTGCCGATGACTTAAAAAAAGAAAAACTATTTTTCACTACATGTCCAAATCATGGAAATATTTAATATACATAATTGCTGATAATAAGAAAGCTGATCAAAGATGCTTCATTAGACTCACAGGCTGTCTGAGTCTCTTAAAATGGTTGGTGGACAAAGTCAATGCCGAGGACGAAGACGTTGTGCGTTCATCAACCGGCACAGTGCCTCTCAAAGCTCTCGACTTCGCGATCAAGAGATGTAGCGACTATATTAGCGCCCAATCACACGAAGACATTGATCAGGAGGGTGAAAAGGTTTGGTCTCATCAGTGGGATCAGTTTATCAGTTGGTATTATCAGATAGTTCGCGGTCAAGCTCTCTTCGTTCGCACCAACGTGCCCTTCAACGTGAGATATTTACTAGCAAATAATCTTTTTCTCTTCATTTACTTATAAGCGTTTACTCTCTTATAATTCTTTTATATCATTTGAAAATATGTCGTACTTGTCAACAGAAATATATCCTGGCTTCGAAGCACGTATTAAAAAAAATGAGGAAGTACTGGCCGCAGATTGACATGGACGGCGTAATGAACATGTGGATCCTAAAACCTGGTAACAAGAGTCGGGGACGCGGTATTGTTCTGATGAATAAGTTGGAGGATGTAGTAGCGAAAGTAAATCCAACAGGCAAACCGGACACGCGATATGTCGTGCAGAAGTATATCGGTAATGAAACTTTTGGATTAATAATTTCAATGGAACGCTAGCCGATTAATGCAGATGTTTGTTTTTCATTCGTTCGATTAAAAATAATCTGATTATTTCTGTTAGAACGGCCGTTACTGATTCACAATACAAAATTCGACATAAGGCAATGGTTCATCGTGACGTGCGCTCAACCTTTAACTCTCTGGCTGTATAAGTACGCAAATATATCAAGAATTTAAATAAGTCACGACATATCGTAACGTTGCTCACGCTAGAACAATTAATAAGCACAATAGCGACTCAACCGTAAGGAATGATAGTTTTAAAAGTAGGGTAATAATCAATTTATGCCTCGTTCACATTAAAACGCGCAATTCTGTTCCCTGGTAGTCAAACTCGCGGATATAAATATCCAGACAGTATACACAATACAATGCTATCTGCATTTAATTATCGCTAATAAAATAGCAGCCAAGGCAAAAAGACGTTTCCTCGAGCTTACTGCTTGTTTACAGAGAAAGCTATCTTCGTTTTTGCTCACAAAAGTTCAGTCTGGATGACGTTCACGAGTCGATTCACCTGTGCAATCACGCAATTCAATGCAAATACAATAACTGCGGCGACAGGGACTCTGCTCTACCCGCGGACAATATGTGGGACGCAACGACATTCAAAGAGTTCCTCAGGTATGATTTATATCACATTGTACATAAAGAATCGTGCATTTCTTCAAAATTTCTGTTATGTAATCATAAGTACTATTTGTGCACATTTAGTTTTCTTTTTGAATTAAACAATATGCAAGAATTCTCATAAAAATTCTTTAGATCTCAGGGTCATGCTGATGCATGGGATGAACAGATCTATCCAGGAATGAAGCAAGGTCTAGTGGGCTCGTTATTGGCTAGTCAAGAGGCCATGGATCGACGGAAAAACAGTTTCGAACTGTACGGCGCTGATTTTATGGTCATGGAGGACTTTTCCGTGTGGCTGATCGAGATCAACAGTCATCCGGACATGAGTTATTCCACCAGTGTTACTACGCGATTGTGTCGACAAGTGATGGAAGATACCATTAAAGGTAATTAATCTAATCTAAGCATTACTATCTTCCTTTCACATTATTACTGTTATGGTAAAAAATTGTATTTTTGCTGGTACAGTCGTGGTAGATTTTCGAGAAGATAAAAATGCGGATACTGGAGACTTTGAGTTAACATATAAGCAAAGAATGTCGAGTTGCCAACCGTACTTGGGCGCAGCTCTGTCGCTTCAGGGTACTCGTATCACCACCTGTGAGAAGAAATCGAGTCTGTATCAAGATTCCAAATCTAACTTAGTCGCAAGATCTCCGATGGTGAGTTAGGCAAAGATGAGATAATATAGCGTTGCTAGATCGAAACTTAAATTTGATTTGTCCATCGACAGACGAAAAAGAAGTCGATGGTACATAGCAATATTGGGCCGGTGATCGTCGATCTCATCGAGGAATTGGAGATTCAACTCGATCAAGAGTTGTGTTCTTATTACAACACCGATTCGCCTAAATCGAGACCAGCACTTCCAGCGACTGCACCGACGAAATCTTTAAAGACGATTTCTGATGAGAAAGCGGAAATTATGACAAAGAGTACTTCAGCAGGTACAACATCTATCAACAAAACAAAATCGCCAACTCCTTCCAAGACTAACGTCCAGGTAATTATTATTTAGAGAAATTAGTCCCTTCTCTAAAATTAATGATTATTCAACTTATTATCCAAGGTTATGATAATGTAAAAAATGACGTTAAAATAAATCGTGATTAATCGAATAGTGACTTTTAATAATCATTTTGAAGCTATTTTGACGTCATGATTTTTTTGTTTGCTTGATTAATATATGTATTAATATTTAATCTTATATGTTTTATAGAACCACACTAAATCTTCGAATAACGGAAAAAGATCTTCACATAAACCGGTACGAAAGTTACGCATGTCCACCAACACTGCAGGCAGCAAACTGGATACATCTCCGAGACAAACGTTAATCTCGAAGATTATGGCTCTTCAGGAGCAATCAGCGAACGAGGCGCCTAAATCCGAGAAACCGTTGAGAAAAAATGAGGACAAGGTTAATATTAATACAAACTTTTCGTTATTAAATTACTTGAAAATGAATTAACAAAAATTTCTTTTTACCCCTGATTTATTATTAGATCATCAAAACTGCGATACGAGACGCCGTGAAGAAGTACAAAAGAAACGTGACTGTTCGGCCAGAAGTCCCGCCACTGCCTTCTCTACTTACACCGCCAACTGCGAAAGTCACACCCGTGTCGACGACGAAGAGCAAGAGTCGCAGCTTCCTTAAGAAACAAACGCACCATAAAAAAAATAAAATTTTAACCGACATCTCCGATATGTACGCTGTCGGTTTGAGTCTAACCAAATAATCGAAAACAACCTGTCAGTCACTCGTTGCTCGTTATTTTTCTCTTTACTGTTGATCGATTCTCTAATTCTATCTACAAGTGATATATGTATACAACTAATAAATGTTACAATTATACCCCTAACAATTGTTTTACTTCTATCAGTATGAAAAACAATTTTAGGATATAGTTTTATCGAACAAAAAAAAAGAAACAAAAACAGTCCTTCAAGCAATCGAGATAAATTCATTACAACCCCCATTTCAGTCATTCGAATTTAAATGCACATACATTGCTTACAAAATTTCCAGTCTGATAATACTAAGATGTTCCCACAAAAAAATAAAGGTTTTGCCAATGTTAGCGCATTCGATTGTAGAAGAGATAATACAAGAGATAAGACAAAGAAACACATAAGAAATAAACGCGTGAAGAAAAAGATTGAAGAATTTACTCGGAGTAAAAGTAAAAATGACGAAAAGATTTTTCCTCCAAAAAGTCAATCAGAATGCCTGGATTTTAAGCATCCTCAATTAGAAGAATGCAAAGAACAAGAAAGAAAATTATTTACCACGTTCTCGAAAGATCAAAAGTATGAAATAGACGAGATTCAAAAGCCAATCTTTCAAAATCCTGCGGTAGATAAATATCTGAATGAGTCAATGAAGAAAACATTGAATAGATATAAGAATCACGATGACAAATGGAAAGATTTAATTGAATGAAACGTTAAAAAGAAAATTGAGAAGACACGAGATATATATATATATATCTTCGATCATGATGACGTTTGTTGGTCGTGAGTGAAGATTCACGTCATGAAATATGAATGTAGGTCATCGAGTTACACGATAATCGATAAAAAGTAAGACGGAAGCAGTAAATTGTTGCTTTCGTAGTAAATTGTCAAGTCAAAAGACCAAATTTCGCGTGTATATAAAAGAATATTCAAATAAAAAGATTAAAAGCGTAATTTTTACAACTTTGAAATTTAAACATAAAATGCATTGCGACAGTGATAATTCGGTAATTTGCATTGACAATCAATCTAAATGGCAAATAATTTTATCCTCGAAAAATTGCACGATTAGAGAACATTTCGAAGGTTGGCAGGTAGACAAGCATTAAAAGAATGGATTACAAATATATTCACTACAAATTTCCGTGATTTATTTTACTATTAGCAACGTCGCTTCATAAAACCGTAGATATGTCCAAAAGATGTAAACACCGATGAAAAAAATTTGCAATTGAATTTAACGGTTCCAAAGTTGAAGATTAATTCACAATGTGCGGTAGAAACAATCAAAACCGCGGATGCTGAGATCTGTTGCAATCGTGAGGATCTCAAAGAATTGTTAGAAACGGATAAAGAGAGCGATCAGGAAAACGGAAACATAATATTGACGGATTATTTAAAATTGGTAACAAACGACGAAGCTAGAATAAATCTTCTATTGAATATTTTAACGAAAGCTGTGGACGAGCATAAATGCTATGTGATTTGTGGCACGTTTCCGGTTCTAAGGAAACCGTTGATGGATAGAGGCTGGATTGAGAAACGAGCCATTAGGAAAATGATAGCAATCCCTCCTCATGCGTACGAAGGTACGTATTTTTTATATTGATTGATAATCATTATCAATTTAAAAATCGATGTCTTCTTTTTTCAGACGGTTTACAGCAGTTAGAAAAATTACTCCGGATTCCTCCGGATTTTATATGGCATACGAATAAGAGACCTGCTATAAGAATGGATGACAAGACTATCGTGAATAAATTTACTGGTAGCTATTTTACATCAAAGGTAATTCGATTCATAAATGCATATGTATCATGCATTGCAAAATATATAATTTTTAATTAGCATAACATTTTTAGATTGACATGTGTAACAATTTGGAAAAAGCTTATTGGTTTTATGAAGCCGGTGTGTCAAATATACAATTTCCTCGATGCTACAATTTCTATCAAGTACGTAAATACAGGGTGAATCAGGACAGGTGATACAATCGAACAATTATTCTACAAGCAAAAATAAATTAAAATGTAAAAAAATTTTTTATATGATGATTTATATGATGAATACAAAAAAGTTTTATTCTATATTTTTTACTTACTTTTGAACGTAAAATAATCTCTTACGTTATTCTTGCATATAAAATCACTTTCGCTTGTATCGTTCGTCCTGGCCCACTCTCTATTACGTGTATATGTACTCAAAAAAGTGATCTTGTATTTATAGCAAAAATTATCTAAGTATGAAAAATAGCTAAAATATTATAGATAAATTTCTAACAAGTAGATCTGCGATATTGGATATGTATTGCATCTAATCATATAGATGACAGAGATAGAATTTAGATTTGTGCTATAAATTCTATGTGTATGAAACACAATTTTCTATCAGATACAAAAAACAGCTATAATTCTAATTGAAGCAGCATTTTTTTGCGTGATGTAAATTAAAATGTTAATATATGCATTACATTAGCTTATATTTATGAGAGTTTTTTGAATAGTCAGCGCAAATGGAGGAATTTATACAAGATTATTATATCACTGCATGTTTCGGGATTTTAAAATGGTTTACGTTACTTGCCAACTTGGTAGGACCGAAGAATACCTGGTCTCCGAATGGAACAATCCCTATAAATGCGATTTCATTCGCCTTAGAACGCTGTGAAGAATATATAAGGTTGTAAGCAATATTACTGACATTGTAAAATTGTATTATAAAAAAAACTAGTACGAGAAATATTTTTAGCATTCAAATACACGAGGACATAGACCGTACAGATTGCGAGTATACGCCTCTTTCTGCCTGGGATCAATTTTTAGACTGGCATCATGATATAATATACAAGCGCGTTGTATTGAAAGAAACCGACGAAGTAGACATAAATGTATGCATAGATATTACAGTGCGAGATTTCTCTTTTTTAACGGCATATTCTGATATGCAACAATTTAAAAGAAAAGGACAAATATGTTTAAAGAATTCTGAATTTTACAGGAGCTTGTAGCATCTGTGCACGATGTAATAAAAGCAATGATAAAGTATCGACCGCAAAGTACCATCGACGGTATAAGAAATATATGGATTTTAAAACCAGGTGATGACAGTTTAGGTCGCGGAATTGTTCTAAAAAGTTGTCTGATTGATATCATTGCCAAGGTGAATCAAGCAGCGAAAGAAAATATCGAGTATGTCGTGCAGAAATACATAGGCACGTACCATTTGCATATATTATGTAAAATAAAGTTTTTAAGCGATATTATTCATCACATTTGCAATTACAATTTGTAGAGCGACCACTGCTTGTTCATAAAACAAAAATAGACATCAGGCAATGGTTTCTAATAACGAGTACACAACCTCTTGTCGTATGGATGTTCAAGTACATTTATAATTTTTTTTTCTTAATTTCGAATTTATACTGCATAGCTCTCAATAATTTAAAATTACCTAATCAGGGATATCTTGATAAGATTCGCTTCAAAAGATTTCACTCTCAGTGATTTTCATGAGTCTATTCACCTGTGCAACACGACGGTACAATTGAAGTATCGAAACTTACCAAGATGCAATTCCGACTTACCTGAGCAGCGTCATTGGAATCTTCAAGACTTCAAGGATTATCTCCAGTACTTTTTATATTATCTCTTATGAGGATTTAAAAACTGTTCAATTAATCAATTAATTACTGATTTAGATCACGCGGTCAAGAATTGGCTTGGGAAAAGATTATTAGGCCGGGAATAAAACAAAATCTAATAGGAGCACTTCTAGCATCACAGGATAATATGGTAAATCGTAAAAATAGCTTTCAATTGTATGGCGCTGATTTCGTCGTAGCTGATGATTTTTCGGTGTGGCTGTTGGAAATAAATACAAATCCACGATTACATCCTCCAAGCAGCGAAGTTACCGCAAAACTCTATCCGGAAGTCATTGAAGACGCAATGAAAAGTATGCCGATTAAAAAGAAATGAAAATATATTTACATATAAAGTTACATTATTATATACGTTACAATCTTTAGTAATCTTAGATCGGCGTAAAAGCAAAAAAGCATCCCAAGGAAAATTCGAATGTATCTACAAGCAACGTAACCCATTTTGCGGCGTGAATATTTTGGGACAAGGCGCGAGTCTCGGCAAATACAACTGTATAAAACAACATTGCTGAAATTCATCTGTCAGAAAGTCTATATCGCAAAGAACTGTCTCTATCATAATCGGTTAGATATAACGCAAATAATTTCGTATATTAACATATAAACAAAATATCATAAATCACTCTGTGTAAACAAAACCTGTGTAAAAAACATTTTCCTTTTTTTATATTATATGTTGCCTAACGCATGGTAAATGAAAAACTCAAAGAGTAATGATTTATTAAAAACGTGTTTATGTTACAAATAACAATGCTATAGGTATACAATCCTGTATAGACAAAATGTTTTTCTTTTTACGGAACAATGCATACACGTTATTACACGGTTAACGTATATAGGATTATGTCGCGCCTCACGTGTCCACATTCATTATTCACGTACAAAATCACTTTTGCAACTTTTTAAATCGTTATGTTAGTTCATTTGATTTTTTTATCGTAAAACATATATCGTTCCATTTTGCAGAATATATTCTGCGTCAGATCAAAATAATGTACATTATTTAGATAGTATATAATCTTAATATAATTATAAAATAGAGTCGTCCAGTGTTTACAGTACTTCCAATAAAATCATTGCGAACATATATTATCGTGGAGGTTGTTCATAAAAAATAACTGTTTAAAAAAGGGAAATAATGTGAACGGTATCTTCCATTAACAAATTCCATTCGGTCAATTTAACTGTATAAACAATCAATTTACTATTATTGCAACATGATCTAATGTGATATATACGATTTATTTTACTGAAATAAAACAGATTTTTATATATCGAAATGATATATAAAATAATAGAATAGAGGACCTATGATGTACAAATAGCATATGTATAAATCATGGAACACATCTAAACAAGCTAGAATATGCTTATATCAGATAAAACGAATTAATTACACACAAAAGTATGATGTACAAAGTGCGATAATTTTACATTACAAACTTATATTCGTTCATACTGATATTAGCATAATCTCATAACATGAAATCCCATCTGTATCTGTGTTGAAATCTCACAAGATGAGAACTGATTATTTAATTTTGATGTATTCTATCATCAATCATAAATAAAATTCCATCTTGTATGACTTCAACAAACATTTGAATACATTAGGGTGAGCTTTGTATCTTATATTACAGCACTTATCTGTGTATCTATATAAGTATACTTATATACCTACATAGATACAGTTTATAATAACTATTCTCGCGAATCAAGTACGAAAGATGACAAGATTTCGTGTATATATCACATGTAAAACTGCATGAAACAATACAAATACTAAACTTACGTAACCGATTTTAATGTAAAAGATAACTTAGGCCTTGAATTATTTTTGCCTAAGATCCTCTTTTGCTCTTCCTTAACACGCTTTTCATGTTCCTTTCTCATTTTTTGCCTTTCTTCTTCCATTAATCGTTGTTCTTCAACCATGGCCAACCTTTCCTCAGCCTGACGTTATAAATACATTTATTGCATAATAATATCTCGCACATACATTTCGTAAGTTACATTAACTTACGAAGCGACAACTTACCAATTTCTTCTGAGCCTCCTCTATCTTTCTGTTGTTCTCCTCCATAATCCTCTCTAGTTCCTCGCGCTTCTTCCGCTCATACACAAAGCAATGATGTTGTTGATCACCATCTGTTGTTACATCGTTCGAAATCATAGTGCTGCTATGTCAACAGCCTAGTGTTACACATCCTAAGAACCTTTATGCAGGAAAGTTTGGGATATATAAAATTTAAGGTCGGAGTTTGAAAAAAGGATGGCTTATCACGAGAGATAATCACAGAGAGTGACACAAGAGTGTGTCTAAGCAATGTTCTTTCTTTTGTGTCAAATGTATTCTTCTTAGAATCCAGCAAACGCTGTTTTATCTCAGACTGTCCAAAGGTAAATACAATAATTTAGGATGTTATTTGAATACGAGAAAAGATTAATCTTTTATAAGTTTATACAAATTAGTGTGCATGCAAGAATATACATGAAAAAAAAAACTGTAATTTTCCTTTTCATAATACCGTTCTGATAAGTGCATAATAAAAACTCAATGTGATAAGTGTATATGTTTGTGTTTCTGTGTAATATTCTTTGTAACATTATAATTATAGGCGAGATTTCTAAATGAGGTTTGTATATAATAATTCAGAAACTAATATCCTACAGTACATTTATATGAATGGTTGTTGCCATCAGCCCGACCTGTCGATGGAAATTCGTTGTGTCCCATGGTAATAATGTTTAGCGAATCTATAGAATGAACCCTAACATATGGCTCTCTCTGGTACAAAGTGTTGAAACAAAGAACGATGATAATAAGATCGGTATAAAATGAATTATGAATATATAAATTGGATAATACCTGAATGAAGCTCACGCCACCACGTAGGGGATGCCTTCTTCATCGAGAATCATTCAGCAGTGAGTAAAAAACCGGCATCTTCTGTTGGTAGTCAGTAAGGAAGGTGACCTATATATCGCTAGGTCGTGCTTTGTCGCTATGGGATTCTAATTCTGCCCCCTTAAAGTCTCTATTTTTCCCATTCGAATAAACTTTTTCCCAAACTTGTAGAGATATACATGTTCGGTGCAAATCCAATGTGCAAAGCGCAATGAGAGTATAATCTCTAATAAATTTGTAATCAGGATTGTTGCCAATCAACGAGCGAGTTGACTTTTTAAAGGTGAAAATAAATAGTTGTGCATAAATACAAAAATGTAGCAGCAAATAAAATCCTAATCACGAAATAAAATAAAAAGAAATTTTGTGACGAAACTATTAGAGCTCTCTGATGTGTAAATTACATAACAGAATGCTTCACTGTAATTCAGTGCTATATTTTTAAATAATAACTATCAAATATAAAATTAAAAGTTAAACTTAAAAAGTGGAATAATACTGCAGAAATAAATCATTAGGCATTATTGCGTCAATATTGAATTCAAGAGACAATACTTATTCGATTCATAGAGAATATATTCAAAATATTTTTTTCGTAAGCAAGATATAATGGTGTAAAAATCATAATCATAAAAAATGATACTTTTACATTTCTGTATATCTATATGTATACATCATAGTTCTAATTATATGTATATAATTAAATCAAGAAAGACTAAATTTATAGTAGATTGTAAACTATTCTTATTTATAGTACTTGACATATATGTTTTATGCAACATCAATAACGTAATATTATCACTACAGTGATTCAACCGACTAATAACTGCTCAGGGAAGAATATTACCTTCCTATGATTTCATATAAAAATAACTTTATTTCATACTCAAGAAAAACTTCTCTTGTTCGATAAATTACAAAGTTTGGGATTGTTACTTTTTCAATAATATTTTCTCTTCTACTCTGTTAAAGACTGTATGATGTGATAATGTGGACAGTCACACACGCGAACATTTTTTTTAAACTAGCTCGAGTAAGTATATAAGAAGTAAATAAGCCTGATATAGGTAGATTCGCCAACATGCACAACAATTTTAGAAACTGAGTGAACACTGCCGATTCAAAGAAATCAGAGCAGTTTAAGCACAACTTCTAGAATTGTTGACACGAACGTCAATTCAGATATCGTGTGATGAAAAAGGTTATAATGTTGTACAGAGATATATAAATATATATATATACATGGTACAAACAATTTGATCATAAATAACCGTTACATGCGCCTATATAGCAGCATTTCTTTCATAATAATATAAAGTACAGCTTCTCAACAACGCGACCTCAGTGGATGCTGAGAAGTTGAAGCAGTGTGGTTTCTCCGCTTAATTTCTTATGATATAATCGCGAACCACAATGCTTCTAGCCCAAACGCTGTGATCATAAATTAAAACTAATAAAGAGAGAGAGAGAGAGAGAGAGAGAGAGAGAGAGAGAGAATGTTGATTCCACAAGTTTAATCGTACATTTTCCTAGAGACAGTACAATTTGCAAATCCTGTAGTTTTAAGCCATCAAAATTTAAATATGTAAAAAGATTTACAAATTGCACTTGAACCGGCCTAACAATTACAATTAATGCTTTAATATTTTCTGAATGTTTTCTTCATTTTTTACAGATTTGATAGTCTGTGTATAAACCTTAATATAGTTCGAAATTTACATTATAAATAATATTAGTTAAAAGATTATAAGCTTTGCAAAAATACATTTCTATGTATTCCTCGATTTCGAAACAGTCGCTAAAAGAATGCTAAAATTTATTTCAATCATAACAGCGCTTGGGCTATCACTGACCAATATTTCTGTGGATAGATCTTACCTCTCTTCGTTTCTCCTCCTCTCGTAGTTTTGCTTGTCTCCATTCCATTTCCTCCATCATTTGACGCTCCATAGCCCTCTTGGCTTCTTCCACCCGCCTTTGCACCTCTGCATCAATTTCTTCCTTACGTTTCTCAAGCTCCTCTTCTACCCTCTTTTGTACAAGCTCTTCTATACGTTTGGCTGCTTCTTCTTCTACCATTTTTTGTTCCACCTCGCGTTGACGTCTGCAGACAGATAAGCAGCGATCTTCTTCCAGAACACTATTTCGGAATTATTTTCTTGTATAAAAGTAAAGTTAATATAGCATGCTAAATTTTAATTAGACTTTAAAAGTTGCAACTCTCGGAATCGATTGATAATAATTTAAACGAATATTTTGTTTAATATAGTAGCGGTAAAAAAGATGTTATAAGATTTTTGATATTTGCAAATGCGTCAAGCATATTCTTTTACTGAAACGTATTACAGTAAACTTTAAATAGATAAACCACCACCATGAAATAATTACACATTCTTACCCAACTGAGCTCGTAGTGAAGATTTTGTTCATTAATTCTTTCTTTTTCCTGATAACATAATTATAAAAAAAACAGCGTATAACAAAAATTTAAATTAAGCAAAATAAATATACATGTTCCACTTGATATACACAAGAGAGAGGAAAAGCAATATAAGAAAAGAGAGAAAAGAAGAAACATATTAATATATTAATTTTTTGTTCTTTTCTTCAATCTTAACGTGGATTATCAAGAGGAACATTGTCGACATAATTCAACGAATATACCTTTGCCGCTCCATTTCCGCAAGCCTTTCCACCTCGTCCATCTTTCGATCCCTGTCCCTGTACGAACGTTTCTTGTGACTGACGATGTGCACATCATCTGATACATCCGTACCAGTGCTGGACGACGCGGAATGGGATCGTTTTCTGAACAAATGACCAAACAAGCAGTATTAATTGTTTATTGAACTGAATGTCGCCAAAAAATACAAAAGCAAGAATTTATTATGGCGACAATAAGGCCTGATTTTTCATTTTCTGGTTAACTAGTATACATTTAATCTCACTTAACTTGATAATAATATAAAAATGATATTTTTCTAGTTACGATTAATCAATAAACTGATGTAACACGGTGAATCATTACTTCTGTATCCTTGTTATCTGCCAATGGTAAACAAAGATAAAATGTGATATACCGTTTCTTACTGCATCTTTGTTTAACATTAGCAAACGACAAGGATATAATGATTCACTGTGGCTGCTTTCTTTTTAGGAGACTGAATAATTTTGGGTATTTTCCAGTAAAAGACAGACAACACTGTGAATGCTTTCCTTTTAGGAGACGTTGACACGAACATTCTATCCTTGTTGGCATTCAATGAATAACAAAGATAGACCGATACTTGTATCAACTATACGTTCTCTATAAAAAGAGAAATCAGTATTATTTGTCTTTCGCTGGAAAACTCCCAAAGTTATTCAATCTCTTCAAAAAGCAGTCAGTATTACACTGTGTCGTCTATCTTTTACTGAAAAATATCCAAAGTTACAAAATCATCAGTTTAGCCACAAGTAGAAAAATACAATCTTTACATCATCATCAGGTTAAGTTTAATCCTGACGAAAATAAAAATTAGAGTGCAAGACCTAAGATACGCGGACAGTCGGCAGATTCGTACAATTATGTTTTTTATTTATTTATTTTTCGCTCGCCGCAAACACGCTGTAAACGCACGGGATGCGACAAGATGGCCGCATACACGGCAGATCGAGATCTTTCGCAACGAGCGGAAACGACGCTGGGACGCGTCGATCCGCTCGTCGCAAACGACACGTACCTGGACTTGGAGCTGCGCTCCTTCGGCTTGTCCGAGTACTTGTTGTTGGAGTGCTTCTCGCGCGACTTGGACCGCTTGCGCGAGTGCTTGCTCTTGTGACGCCGTCTGCTCGGCGATTTCGATCGGGAACGCGACCGGCCCATTTCTCCGAGCGCGATCGTTTTTCCTCTATCTGACGCAGTCGCGATTTCGGAAAGAGTCGGGCTGACCGCCTTGGATACGGGATGACGCGAACTCACTGCCGCGAGACGAGACGAGCGATATCCAAATTCCAAAGCAAACATCCACACATCGTATCCACTGCGCACTTCTCAACTGGCGGCCATCTTTAAATCGCGAAGCCTTCGACGCCTTCGACGTAAAAATCCGGAACTAGCGCTTCGATACGTATACAACGGCTTCCAACAACACCAGCTGCGCCCCCACGAACGCACTTGATAAGTTACCTATAAATACTTTGTGTCGGTGACACCACACCAGTGAAAGGTATTGTAGTTTTGTATGTACGAATTTCTTGTTTACAGTTTAATGCGTACTTTGCTTCCATCGTATATAACTGTGAGAGTAAATTAAATATCTAAAAGGTAAATGGTAAAAAGGTAAATGTTTTTTGAGGCTTTTACGGATATTTTCTATACAGAAGTTATATAAAGAAATTATGTATTTCGTATATTTTCTTCAAATCCATTGTTTAATTTAGAATGCATTATTTAGAATGCGTTTCGTGAACATTGCAGTTTACAAAATGTTGGTATTCTAATAATGGATTTGAATATGTATTTGGAATTATTCGGAATGAATTCCGATTGGAATTATTCAATCATTCCCTAGATTCCTATTGTGTTTTCTGTTCTAGAAAAATGGAATAATTCCGATCGGAATTCATTTCGATTGCTGATCCATAATAAAGTGCCCTTGACACGTGGAAATAACCCGCGAAACGTATAGCTTTTGTGAAAAAAAGTAAATATAACTTTCCAATTTCCTGTGATTTTGTAAATTTGTAAAATCTAAGATGAAAATATTGTACGGTATATTTATTGTAAAAAAGGGGGATAGAGATTTTTTACGAAATTGTTTTATGAACAATTTTTTGAAAAATTTGTATCAAGTCACATCGTTTTTTTATTAATATTATTGATATTATATGCATAATACATATTTGACAAAAAAAACGAAAAATGAACGAAAAATATACATCGAATTTCAAATATTATTGGGTTGGAACAAAAGTTCATAGCGCTACTTCATTTGTATCATATTTATATTTTTTTAAAAATATTTTGGAAAAATTTAGCAATCATTTGATAGAACAAAAGTTTCAGCTTTAAGAATCTATTTTTTTTTTTATTTGCAGTAAGATAATTTTTAACGGAGTAATCAAATGCTTCTTTTATTTAATCTGCGATAAGTAATAAAAAATATTATATATAATATTTAAAAAAAATAATTTTGTAGGGAGAACTATAGGCCCTACAATTTATCACAACCGTAGTTTTTTATATGTAAAAATGACCAAACTCACAAAAACTCAAAAGACACAGTCAGCTTTCGAAAGTACAGATTTGAAGCTTTAAAAACCCTTTTTCTTTTTAATTAAAATTTCCTTCATTTTTAATGAAGTTACTTGAACTCTGAACTTTGTAGCGCTACGAACTTTCGTTTCAATATATCTACACGATATGTAAATCAGCGTTAATCTACGATGATGTAGTGAGTTTTTAAAACTTTTGCACCAAGCTCTGAGTTATGACTTTAATTTCCTTTAAATTTTGCAGTTAGGATTTAACGGCACATCCGAAGCGGTCTGAAGCGATTAACGCATCTCGATGATCGGTGCTCTCGTGGTCGCGCCACTTTCAGCCACTTGGAGAATCGCGCGCGCGCGCGCCGATTCGAACGCGCGTTCGGTCAGTCCGATTCCGGCGCGTTCCGCCGGTTTAATTACCGCGCGCGGCAGCACTGACGCCGGCTGGCGTCGTTTCACGCCGCCAGCTGTGTCGTCGTCCGTCTGCGGCCGCGCCATTCCAGACATTCCGGTCCGTTCCGCGATTGCCAGAAAGCAAGATGGCGCCCATCTGTTTGCGGATACCTCTGTCGTGGATATAAATACGCACGAGGAAGAAAAAGGGGAGAAAGGATAAAAAGAGCAGTGCCGAGAAACGGTCGCGGACGATCGCGCGGTCGGTGCGACGGTCGTCGTGATTGCGCCGCATCTCGTCCGCGATTGACGTCAACGTCGCCACGCGCTGCGGTAACATCGCGTGAAACGCGTCGGTGTCTTGTGTTCTCCCGTATCGTGTCGTACTCCGTCCTCTCGTCGTTCGTCATCGTCGTCACGATCCGCTGTCCAACCGCGTCGCGAAACCGGCAACGAGACCATCCCGCGTACCTACCTAACCCGTGATCCGTCGCAGCTCCAGGAAGGCCTCGCTCCCGCGAACGGTGCCCACCTGAGGAATGCCAGATCGGCCGCGATCCCCCCGGCAGGTCGGCGGATCGGCAACGCGGCGCGACGAGTGAGCGAAGAGAAGCCGTTGAAAGAGAAGAGAGGAAAGAAGACGGGACAAGACGAGACAAGCAGAGGGAAAGAAAAATAATAAACGACGGAGTGCGTGCTCTCGTGGGGATTCCCTCGCGAGAAGGTGATCGCGGTCGCTACTCTCCCGTGACGTATGTGTGTCGCGGAGGTCGTTTGTCAGACGGGTCGGTCGCCGCGAGTGTTTCCGTCGTTCCCGTCGCCGTTGTTGTCGTCGACGTCGCGTCGCGAGTGCCATCCGCGATCTCGATGCGCTGTCGCCCTCCCCTGGAAGATCATCCCCTCTGGACGCCCGGTGGTATCAGCTGCTACTACTGCTTCTGCTGCTACTGCTGCTGGGACTACTAGCCCGGCAGCTCCCTGCGAGGATACTCTTCCGTTGGAGCGGTGGGGCAAGGAGGCGCCGGAAGCAGCCGCGAGTCCGGAAGCATAGCGAAGAAGATGGCCTTCAACGAGGTGAGTACCTCTACCTATCGCGCGCATCTTGTCTGCTACCTGCGTGCTTGCATGCGTCACGCGTTCCCGTTGCACCGCGATCGGGTCGTTCGATCCCGCGGGGTTGACCCCGCGACCCCCAAACGCCATTCCTAACCTAACCTCCCTTTCTGCGCACAGCTGGTACGCTATCAACTCCCCCTTTGCTCCTCCCGGCGTCTCGTCCCTTCGCTCTCTTCCAACCGACGTCACTCTCCCCCCCTCCTCCTCTCTCTCTCTCTCTCTCTCTCATTAATTGTTATCATTATCTCTGTCGTTTTATTTATATTTTCTGTATCTTTATATTATTTTGCATTTTAATTGTTGCACATTCTGCTATTAAATTGTACATTTTCCCAACACTTAAAAGAATACCATTCTAGAACGTTCAATAAATGACGATACGTATCTATCTTTCGTCTTTTGTACTTGATAGATTCGCGAAAGATAACTTAGCATTCAACAAGAATTAGTTTTACGTGGACGTAATTTGATGCATTTTATTTGGTATCAAAATGTGACTTTAAGGTCAGGTTGCACCAACGTTACTTTAACTCTCGTTTTAAAATCGAAAAGAGACAGGGACAAAGAGAGTTTTAAGTCTCGCTTAAAATTAAAATTGGTGTAACCGGGCCTGTAAAATAGATCCACAGAATGGGATCATTAAAAGTCCTGTTGGCATTTGTTATTGAAACATATGTCGAACTGGGAAGAATGAAATTGCTAATGTCTGTTTGTGACAACAGTTCGTTAATTAAAAATTCATACGCTAGTTCTAATTAGAATTGACATATATGTTATTTGTAATTATACACCACTGATATATCTTTCGTAAACGTTTCATACATGTAATTTCATAATCATAATCTCTCTAATTAGACATTGCATAACACAAAGTAACTGTGTTAGTTACTTTGTATATAGATAAATTATTCGTCAAGAATATCCGTTTTATCTATTTAGGATCTTATTTGGTGTTAAATTTAGGTATATACAGGGTGTTTCCAAATTAAATCGCAAAACTTCGGGAGCATGTAGAGGAGTAAAAAACTAAGAAAAAAAGTCCTATAGACATATGCTCGTTTTTGCTCCGTTTCAGAGAAATCGAAAAAAAATGTTTATATTTCTTGCCATATCTAGCACCGACATATTTGATTACATTTTCCACTTTCTGTTATGAATTTGTCAGTCGCTCTTTGAAAGCCTTTAATAGTAGATGAATTTTGTCTTTTGCAATATGCCGCGTACGATCTTCATTAAAAAGTTTATAAATAAAATAATTAAAATAATAAATTAAATATATTTTTTTCTTTTTTCGTGATTTCCTGCGAAACAAAGCAAAAAGGAGCATATGTCTATAGGACTTTTTTTCTTAGTTTTTTACTCCTCTACACGCTCCCGAAGTTTTGCCATTTAATTTGGAAACACCCTGTATATGTATGCCATGTAACCGTCATCGCGTTTCAATATATCTACACTGAAAAAATTACTAAATTTTAATGAATATCTGTTTGAATAATTCTAAAGTCCATTTTACAATTATGTAAGCGTAGTTGTATGTGGTTGTAGTTGTAAAAATTGGCTAATGATGGTCGAATATTTTCCTCATATTTGACTGTGATTGCATTGAAAAAAATTCTGGTCATTTTTGGTCCAATGAATGTTCGTTAATCAATGTCCGATTTAATGTAATTAATTCATATAATAACTGGATTTATCTATTTAACTACATATTCATTCTTGCAATGAATTCTAGTAATAGTTTTATAACCTAAATCATATTATGAGAATTCATTGGACCAATTTTCATTAATTCAATGAATATTTTATTGTATTTACGTACAGTTTTGGTTCAGTGTGGTTACTTCTTACCACTTACAATTACGCTTACGCAATAGTAGAATGGACTTAAGTAAATATTTACTAATGTAAACATATATTTATTTGATACAAGAACCATTATATAATTTAACTATTATTTTTCATTGAATAATTATTTATTTACTGTGAGTTAATGTTTGCTTAGTGCTATTCAAAGAAATATTAAGGTTTAGTGAATCTTTTTTCAATGTAAATTAACCGTGAAAATAATCATTTTATAAAATATACGCAAAATCGAAGCAAAACCAGCAAATTCCTTAGGTAATGCTTTGTTGATAATGTGCACTTAATTGTCTCGCGTCCTTGAGAAGGCGCGATAAATGCCATTGAAACACAACAAGATTTTATCAGCTACAATAATTCTATCAGTTTGATGTAGCAATCTCGCGATTGGTTCACCGTTATATCGCCTTGCTATCGCAATATTGCGTAACTTGCGGAATTCGCGA